TTTTTTTTTTTTTTTTTTTTTTTTTAATACCATCACTCACCCCAACCCCCCCCACATAAAAATTAGTTTTTTTGTATTTTTATTTGTTTGAGGGGGTGGGGCTGGGGATGCGCCGCCCCATGGCGCTTTCCAAATCCCCAACCCCCCTCCCCACCGGCTGCCATGCGTTCGCGAAGTGGCGCGTCCGCGGGGGTGGTGGACTCGACCACGTCCGCGGATCGGCCGCGCTTGTTCGCCGCCGAGGGTGTTTCGTAGGGCAGGACATGTGCGACGGATGCGAAGATGGGGAAGGGAGAAGGGAAAGTTCGCGTGAAGAGCGGAGCGGTCATGGCAGTTGTGAAGGGAGATACCCGAACTTTGAGGAAGGATACGGGAGAAGAACGGAGATTCCTTATAATCTAGATCCAAGGAATTTCACGGGTGAGTTCAGCCCCGTGTGGACGGAAGAGGATGTGGACGAGGAGGAAGAAGTGCAAGAGGTTATCGAGATTAGCAGTAGCGACGAAATGGATGAGATCTCAAGGCCCAGAGAAGAGAGGCGACCCCCGATGCACCAGCCGCGCGAAGGAGCCTTCAGATGGGAAGATGAGTTTGGGCCGACGCTCAGTCATTGGTTTGAACAATGGCTCAGTGTAATCAAGCACAATTGGATTATCAAGACCAGGGAACTCACGGAGGCAAGAGTGACGGCCACGCCTTTGGATTTTTACTGTAAGATGGAATTGCAAGAAATTGCGAAAAGAAAGAGAGAAATTTTGCCCTCTGGCCTGGGAGTTAAACAACCAACAGAAAGACAAGATGGACAGAGGGGGTCGAGCGAGATGAGACACGTGTCAGCAAGAGGGATTAAATGTTATCAGCATTGAACAAGAATTGTGCTTTTCTTTTGCAAACATTGGAACGACAAAATTTGTATAGTATGAGTAAGCTTGCGAGGAATGAGTGATGAAAGGACTAGCTAAGACTGTGCCACGACGAGTTAGAAGATAACATTTTGAGGCTACTTTCTGGATGAGCTACCTTCGAAAAAGTATATGCAAGACAATGACACGGGGCATGGGATGAGACTGGTTGGGAAGGGTGTACTGTGAACTTTGGATGGGATAAGGATTGTGCTTTTGAGAAGAAACCGTGAGTGCAAATTGACGAGCAAAGCGAGGCATTGAATGCTGGTCGAATACAAGAGAGGTTATGGAACCTATGGGTAAAGGGGCGTGAAGAACACCCCTTCCCTAGGAGCCTAATCCAACTGAGTCATGAACGAGTCGGAAAATAGCCAAGAGCTGAGAGACCAGAAAGAGTGAAAATAGAGGGGGTGCCCCTATCTTTTGCTATGGTTGAACGGTCGGGTGGGCTAGTGCTGCTTGGGGTTGCGAGCCTCAACTCGAGCACTAGACACTAAGTCGGATATATGCATGAATAATAAATTGCATTGAGAAAGGATGAAGGGAACCGCACGCAAAAAATTGCAAGGGATGGCCACCGTCTAACCCCCGAGACAGAAATGGGATCCGTGTCCTCGAGGCCCACCTCCTCGGGCGCTAACATTGGAATGGAAAAGGAATGGCCCTGATAAGGTCGTTCGATTGGAATGGAAAAGGAATGGCCTTAACCAGGCTGTTCGACTTGAGAATGGAAAGGAATGACCCTAACCAGGCTGTTCAATTTGAGAATGGAAAAGAATGACCCTAACCAGGTTGTTCGGAAATGGCCCCTGACGAGGGTCATTTATTTGGAAATAGGCATTGGGGTTCCCTGCATGACTGATTGAGAAAGGTTGATTGAGAATGAGCTGGAATGAGCAATGTGAAATAGAAAAAGTCGGTGGGTCGATTATTGAAATAGCCATGAGAATGGACGAAAGAGAGTGATGCCTTGAAAGGAGAAGGGCAGGATAAAGGAGGTCAAGCCTTAAGTCGAGAAGGGCGTAGACCGTTGGGACGGTCATAAGGATTGGATATTGGGAAATGTGAAAGTTGAGGATTGAAGGTGGGCGGACGGGTAGGCCTTGGAAGAGGCTATTGAAAAAGAGACCACCATATCGGTCACAAGGGGTGGCCTTATTAAAGAGAGGCTGTCGGGCCAGCCATGAGAAGTCAGTCTTGAGAAAGAACTGGAAAAAACATTGGATTGAGCGTTTTCCTGAGAATTGGATATTGCATTGCATAATCAGGGGACCCTAGGCGATTTGAGGAAAGGTCGTCGGGCCGACCATGGAAATTGCAAGAGATTGAGTTTTCCTTTCTTACTAGTCTCAGGTCTCAACATGAGGGGGATAGCGATGCATGCACCGCGACCCCAGGACCTCTACCGGTCAAGGGAAAAGTCTCAGCGCGACCTATTCCTCGTAAGGAAGGATAAGGGTTGGAGGACCAAGGCATCTTTCTCTTTGATCGGTGTTCGCCGTCCGGAACTACCTCCGACAACGAGCTTTAGTCGGGGAGTTCAAATTGTGCCTCATATTGAAAACCTAAACGTCAAGGGCGTGGAGCCAAACGGGCGTGAGAGCCATTCGTTTCCTAAGTCTCATTTTCTCTCCCCAACCATACGCCATGCCGTGGAGGGGCGGCATGGCCGTTTGGGATGGACCAAGGTCGCTCGCATCAAGTTGAGCGGCACTGTCCAAAAGGAGGGGTCGGCCGGGGTACCGGGTGGAATCCGCATCCACCACAGCGCGAGTGACACCGGCATGCCGGATCATTACAACCGTTCCGGGACTAACCGCGAGGTCTTCGTAACTGCACTCGCAGACTAATAGAGAGCCCCAACTCTCTTGAAAGGAAGAGGCCGGATCCAAGAAAATACCACGTGGGAGGAACGATTCGCGAGGGGGCCACTTGTGGCATGATGGGGTCCTGGGAGGCATGGACTGGACCCGCCTAACGAATGCGAGGAGACACCTCAATGATGATGCCAATCTCCAAAGAAGTGACCGTCGGACTAGAGTAAAGGATGAGGTGAGTTATCAGCGGGGGAGGACTGATCACCCTTCCTTTTTGAGGCTGATGGGCCGACATCCGTCTACTTAGTTGGCAGGGCAAGGTCAGCGTACCTCCAAGTGAGAACCAGTCGTGCGATGGGGGCATCGCATTTTGAGTGGGGGGAAGGTGTGCCATCCACCGATGAAAAGGCGTGCAAAAGATAAGGTTACCATGAGCTCAAGAAAAGCATGTGTAATTGACTTTGCGTGGGCTTGCGGAAGGTCTGGCAAGATGTCCAAAAGAGAAATGTATGTGTAATTGATTTTGCATGGGCTTGAGAAAGGTCTGACAAGATGTCCAGAAGAGAAATGTATGTGCAATTGACTTTGTGTGGGCTTGAGAAAGGTCCTGGCAAGATGTCCAAAAGAGAAAGGCATGTGTAATTGACTTTGCGGGGGTCTGCGAAAGGTCTGGCAAGATGTCTAGAAGAGAAAGGCATGCATAATTGACTTTGCGTGGGCTTGAGAAAGGCCTGGCAAGATGTCAAGAAGAGAAAGGCATGTGTATTTGACTTTGTGTGGGCTTGAGAAAGGCCTGGCAAGATGTCCAGAAGAAAGATGCATATAAAATGGACTGGGTAACATGCATGTAAAATTGATTGAGCTTGGGTACAAGAAAGGTCGAATGAGGGAGACATGCATGTGAAATAGGCAGGACTAGAGAAAAGTCGGGCAGAATGACCTAGAAGAAATACATGTAAATTTGGCTGAGCATGAGATTGAGGAAAGGATGACGGGAGATATGGATTGCGCGGGCCGAAGAGCCGAGTAAAAGAGGCACTAAGGGCGACAGAGGCCGGAAAAGGGACTTGGTTGACACGGGATGGAAGGAGGACCAGCCAAAGGGCGTTTGGGTTGGCAAGGCTCGGGGGAGAAGCAGGGGCAGCAAGAGGAGGGAGACGAGAAAAGGCTTGATGTACTTCGGGCGATGAATGAGAAGAGGGAAGTTGAGAAAAGGCTTGATGTACTTCGGGCGATGAATGAGAAGAGGGAAGTNTGTACTTCGGGCGATGAATGAGAAGAGGGAAGTTGAGAAAAGGCTTGATGTACTTCGGGCGATGAATGAGAAGAGGGAAGTTGAGAAAAGGCTTGTTGTACTTCGGGCGATGAATGAGAAGAGGGAAGTTGAGAAAAGGCTTGATGTACTTTGGGTGATAAATGAGAAGAGGAAAGTGGAGAAAAGGCTTGATGTTCTAAGAGTGATGAACGAGACGAAAGGGATCTGATGTTCTAAGAGTGATGAACGAGACAAAAGGGATCTGATGTTCCAAGAGTAACGAATGAGACAAAAAGAGGCTCGATGCTCTAAAGGTGATGGTGTTCTGGAAATGATGAATGAGACATGGGAAACCTGAAGGACAAAGAAAGCTTGACCTTACACGTCTCTCCCCGCTCCAAGGACCGAAGACTGGAAGAAACCCTAGAAAGGAATAAGAAAAGACAAAACGGACCCTGGCACACTAACCACCTATGACATCCCGTCCTCCTCTCCCATCTATCCCCCAAAACCCCTACTGACAGAAGAGTAGTGCGCGATGAGGACATCACGAATGAGTGGGGGGAATGTGTCGGGACTGGTGGGTCCCGAATAACATCCCATCACTCGAGAGCCTGTACATAGCCAAATTGTGCACGACAGAGAAATCAGGAGTAAGGAGGCGAGAGAGAGAAAAGATAAAGGACTAGGCCGCAGGGGGGGAGTGATGCCCTGGGTTGAGAACCGCAAGGGGAAAGAACCGGCTACGGCAAGCAAGTGAGCGTGAGGACAGGGGCACATAGAACATAACATGAGGCCAGGAAGGCCGTTGGAATTCAGCAGGACTACGGTCAAGGGGTCATTGACCCTGCGAACACGGCACGACAGCAACAAAAGAATGAGGGAGCCGAGAGGTGGACGACCCCGGAGGCCGTGGGACGTTAGAGAATAAGGGGCCAACATGGGGGCCACCTACGACAATTAACGCGAGCCTCGGGTTGGAGGCGACCGCGGCCGGAGAAAACTAGCACACGGAAGGCCCAAGAAAAAGCAAGGGAGAGGGGCCACCATAGGGCGGTAGACGCTCGAAGAACGTGGGACACCTTGAGGAAAGGCACCAAGGACCACGCGGGGCTAAGTAAAAATAATGGTATCCGAGACAAAATATGGCGGGAACCGTCGGCGGGACTAAGTGCTAGGGACCACCGGCGAGACTAAGTGTCGGGGACCGCCGGTGGGACTGTGTCGGGGACCACCAGCGGGACTAAGTGTCGGGGACCGCCGGCGCGACAAAGTGTCGGGGGCCACCGACGGGACGAGTGGCGGGGATATATGAAGGCCCCAAGAGAAACGGCGAAGCGGTGTCGGGCGGCTACCTACCAGCCGAATGCACTTCTTTGGCGGAACATGACTTTCGTTGGGAGATGTTTTCCTTGTTTTGCATGTTTGATGCATGGACGCATGAGGCTTGAGGGTTTTTTGAAGAAAGTGTGTTTTATTTTTTTTAATAACGTTTGAACAGGCAGAAAAAGGGGGCTCGACACCAGGTCTCAAGCGGGGCCAAGAGCGGACCGAAAAATTGAGATTTCGACGAGACACTTTAAGAGTGCGGGAACGACGACCAGCTTTGGGACTAAGAAACGGGGCACGAAGCGAGAGGTGGACCTTGGCTACCGGCAGCTACAGACTCCTTACGGTGGGGACCCGGTCACTACTAAACGTGGGGAGAAGACTATGGGGACAATTCAAGGAGCG